CTTTGAATTAAGAGTGTCTATTATCTCAGTTGCAATTGTAGCTGCAGATCTTCAATTCTTTGCGTATGGAAGGGAGGTTTCTGGTTCAGAAGACATTGTAAAACACAACAAAAGAAATCAGCTGTCAATGATCTTATGATACCTTTTTTTATTTTTTATTTTTCGTGTTAGATTTTTAATATTGGGCCCATTAATTCAAGTCTTGCATTAAAAGAAAAGTACTTGTATTACGTGTTGTATTGTATTATTGCTTTATTAAATACTATTTGTCTTGATTGTTATTTAAATTTTATTGTATCGTATCTTTAATTCTGTCGTTACATAACGACGAAAATGCTACTTTATGGAACCACCAATATGGTGTGATCGCGTCGTTACCTTTTTTTTTTCTCTCCTTTTTTATTATTAAATATTCCTAATTTATCTTTTATACCCAATCTTTTTATGTAATAATACATCGTACCTTACTTTTTCTTTATGATATTGCAAGTTTATTCTTCGTATTGATGTAAGATTTTCTCTTGTGAACCCTTTAATCTTTAAAAGTTCTTTTATTTCTTTATTTTTTGTTATTGCCTAAAATTGTATTGGCATGGTCGGAAAAGTAGCCCAAGTTTGAGGAGTTTAATTATCTTCATATATTTTCTTTATTCCTTTTAGCGGAGGAGCCAAATAAGTGCGAGGGGTTCAATTGAATCCTCTTTGGCCGAAAACTATATTATGTAAATATTTTGTGTAAATGCATGAAATGGCACACTGCGGAACAACAATAAATGTTTGGGAAGCTTTATATTCGCTCTATTTGAACTTCCTCTACTCGCGATTGCTTTCAGTTAAAAATGGAAATGATAAAGCTTATTAAATTCATTATATTATATTAAGTAGGATTCTCAAAATAACTTAATTTTCCCCTATGTATATTTATGCTCAAATTTCTTCGAAAAATGCATATAGATTGATCTTTGCTTATCATGAAAATATACCGGAAAACTACATAAAAATCAATCACATTAATAAAAGACACTTACTACTGAGCCAATAAATGCATTACACTCAGAGAGTATAAATGATACGATACATAATTAAGAATCACTCAAAACTCTAAAACGACAAATAAAGAAAAAACAAACGATAGACACCACAAAGCATAAAACAGGTAAAATATTAGAATCCGCGAGATCAGTTTGATGGAGGAGGTGAAAGTGTAGGCATGGTTGGAATAGTTGGAATGTTTGGAAGTGAAGGCATGTTGGGAATAGGATTCATAGCAGGCATTGGTGGCAGAGTCATCTTCGGAACAGAAGGCAAAGTAGGCAAAGAAGGCAATGGTGTTGCTGTTGAAAGTGTTGGCAATGGTGGCAATGGTGGCAATGTGGCTGCTGTTGGCAAGTTAGGAATTTTAGGCAACTGTGGCATTGTTGGCTGAGGCAATGACGGTATTGTAGGCAAGTTTGGAAGTTGGAGTAGGCCGCGAGCTGCATCGCTTGTGTTGATGCTTGATAAGGAAAATAATGCTATAATCAAGAAAAGGATTGAGCAGTTGCAACTGGAAGAAGCCATTGTGTCAATTTGATATATTGCTTTGTTTAAAGGAAATGAAGTTAATAATAGAAGTTGGAAGTCTGTTTAATTGAGTGAGTTTGATCATTTACTAAAGGGTACTATATATAGGGAAAGTTGTTGAAAAACTAGCACGATTGTATGTGATGTTTGGGTGTGGAAACATGAGCCTCTCTATTGTTAGTTCACCTTCCTAAATGTTGATTTGAGGATGCACAAACTTTTTAAGTCAATAATATTCTGGAAGTAGTTATACATAGATGAAGTTCGGATCAACCATATTTAATATAAAATGGCACAAAGTATTTTTTTATTCATATACAAAATATTATATACTATATTGGTTTGAATATTTTTAAAGTTTTAAAGGAGAACAAAACCACTGTTCAGAAAGAGGGTGAATTACTTAAGATAGGAATAGAGAAGTGGGTTAAATAATTATGATGAATAAGAGAGTAATATTCACATGCAGTGATGGCAGTTAGGAATTGATATTTCATGAAAGCATATGTAGTAAAGATCCAGGAACGGCTCAAGGACACGTGGCATAAAGTCAAAGTTTAATATAAGGCCTAAATTTTTAAAAGAATATTATGATCCAGTATATATTTTTATTTGAAGTCTAGTTTTCTAGCTTTTTGAAATGCAAAGTTGTTAATAATTTTTTTATAATCGATTTCCTCTAATAATTTCTTTTTAATTGATAGTACAACAAATTTTTAATCTGTTTTGAGACATTATTGATCTAAGATAAGATTTTATCAACTAAAATTTTGAAAAACTTATTTTTTTTAGGCAACTATTATGGAAAAACTCTACTTTTGTACTAAAAGCACCAATTATTTTAAAAATAATACCTATAAACCTATTATTTCTAAAAAATGAGGTCCCCAAATTTGGGGGCCTAAGGCACAAGCCTTACTTGTAATAACCTTAGAGCCGCCCTGAGTAAAGTCAAGTAAAATATAAAAAATGATTTCATCAATTAGCGTTGAACTAATTGTTCGCCAAATATTGTTGATCCAAGCTAGCAGGATTGTATGTGATTTTTGGCTGTGGAAACATGAGAACTCTCTATTGTTAGTTCACCTGCCTAAATGTTGATTTGAGGATGCACAAATTTTTTAAGTCAATAATATTTTGGAAGTAGTTATACATAGATGAAGTACGGATCAGCCATATTTAATATAAAATGGCACAAAGTATTTTTTTATTCATATACAAAATATTATATACTATATTGGTTTGAATATTTTTAAAAGTTTTAAAGGAGAACAAAACCACTGTTCAGAAAGAGGGTGAATTACTTAAGATAGGAACAGAGAAGAGTGAGATAAATAATTATGATGAAGAGAGTTATATTCACATGCAGTGATGATAAACCATTTTTCTTGGGCAGTTAAGACTTGATATTTCATGAAAGCATATGTAGCAAAGTCAATTAAGATATAAAAGATGATTTCATCAATTAGTGTCGAACTAATTGTTCACCAAATATGATTTATTCCAAACTTCATCTATGCATAACTGCTTTAAGAAAATTTCTTGACTTAATTAAAATTAGTGCATCTGCCCTCAAACCAAACATTTGTGAAGGTGAGCTAACAAATTCCAACATTTCCTGTTTTACCCTATGGTCTCTGCCTTTTGATTATTTTTTATTTTTTTTTCCTTTCTCTGTTGTTTTTATTTTTTGAGTTATTCTTAACGATATGTATCGTATCATTTATATATACTCTCCGAGTGTTATACGTTCATTGCAGAGTAACCTTTGTATTAATGCCACGCAGTTGTCTATTATTGATTTATGTGCAGTTCTCGTATCTCCAGTACATGTGAAGATAATTAAACTCCGCAAAAAAAAAAATACTTTGACAAGGCCATTTGTAGTATAACAGTGGCATTACCAATAATGCACTTTTGAAGTCACACTCAGAAAGAGATATAATACAAAATAATTAAACGCTGGTAAATCCTGTAACAGAGACACCCGGACAGGCAGTGCACTACTTTAATATCAACCTGAATAAATTAACAATAACAATCCAGTAAAATCTTACAAGTGGGTCTGGGAATGGTAGTGTGTACGCAGACCTTACCCCTATTCCGGAGGAATAGAGAAGGTGTTTCCGATAAAACCTTGGAAGATCAGTAACAACAACAGCATCTAAACAGATAATACCAGCATCGTTAGGACCGAAAAATAGATAAGCAATAACAAAAACAAGTAATAATAGCATGGTACTATGAAAACCGAAAAATAACCTGAATAAATTTAGAAATCATAAATTCTGATGCAATGGACAATGGTTTATGCCTATCAACGAGCGACACGTATATAAATAGGACTCTCTGTACACACATGAAAATCAGCCAATTACCATAGCAACAAATCAGTGCAAATTATCTTCATTTCAATCAAATACTTGGAATCTTTTCTTACACTGCATTCATTTTCTAACTTTCTTACAGCGTATGTGATTGTTGTTATAAGGCAGCTTTCAAGAAGTAAGCCGTTCTTGTTCAACAATTTTGGAATTTACTATGCTAGAAATTCCAAATAAGACCATGACCAGTATAAAAGTAATTAATCAGCTTTAACTCTGCCTCTACATATTATATTGAAAAGCAGTATATTTGCATTAGCTTACATTCCTCCAAAATGAAGTTTGAATATATAGATTTTCTAATCTAATAATCGATCCATGTGAAAAATTAATATGCATAGCCCTATGAGCTTGCGTACATTGCATGTCCCAAGTCAAAATAAAGAAGGGGGATTATGATAGACGACTCCCAGCATAAAGCTAGTCAATTCGTAATGACTCTCCTCCTAATAGAGATATCGTTGAGACGTATTTAAATTTGTACTAATTGTTGTTGATAAATAGGAGTAAATCACCCCCTAAACTTGGTTCTCCTTGGATTGTTTAAAGAAAGAAATTAAAGTGGGGAGATTACAGGAGCAGGATACCAATATCGAGCAAATGTGACATATCTACATTCATTAATTTTCGTAACAATACCTTCTAAGAGATGGCCAGTTCAAGATGTTGAACAACAAAGTTTGATTTTGGAAAAATACGTGATAGAAAAAGTACGTCAACCCATTGAAATATGATATGCTACAAGTAAATATTTGCGACAAGAAATAAACCCTAATTTTTACTTCTTCCTAATGGGTAAAGAACAGAGAGATTTGCTTAATCTAGCAGGACGAATACTGGTGCATTTTTCTCAAACTAGCATTTGAGAAGATTAACTAACAATAGAATTTTAAAATTTAGAGCATATGCAACATCTCGCCAAATCCTCATAGACCCTCAAGAACTTCCCCTGTATATCCCCTTTAGAGATGATCAAACAAAACACAACTGAATTTGCTTGGAACACAAAGCAATCTAGCAAACTAAGTCAAAACACACATACTCCTATTGACAATGGCTTCCTCCAGCAACTACTCTATCCTTTTCTTGTTCATAGCATTACTGTCCTTATCAAGCATCACTACAACACATGCTGCTCGCGGCCTACTTCAACTTCGGAACTTGCCTACAATCCCATCATTGCCTCAGCCAACAATGCCACAATTGCCTACAATCCCAAATTTGCCAACAGCAGCCACATTGCCACCATTGCCAAGTGCTGCATCTTTGCCAACACTTCCAACAACTACACCTAATTTACCATCTTTGCCTACATTGCCTTCTGTACCAAAGATGACTCTACCACCAATGCCTGCCAATAGTCCTCTTCCCAGAATGCCGTCACTTCCTACCATTCCTACACTTGCAACTCCTCCATCAAACTGATCTTGCGGCTTCCAACATTTTCCAGTCTTAACCTATGGTCTCTGCCGTTTATTTTATTTTTTTTTTCCTTTTTCTTTGTTGTTGTTTTTATCTTTTGAGTGATTCTTAACGATATGTATCGTATCAATTATGCCGTCTTGAGTGTGTTTACCCAAAAAATCGGATAACAATTGAATTTATACGTGGTTATAAGGATACGTGATCTAATTTGATACAAAGCGAGAAATCAGATTTAATATGAAAGAATAAGTAGAAAAATAAATACAAATCATGCAGATTGAACAACTTAAGCCTCCCAAGGTTAATTTCCTTCGAATTTAAATGTGATATTATTGAAGCCAGAATAATATGAACAAAGCTGGAAAAAATGGTATCTTGTTCTTTTAAGTATGTTACCCTCCCCAAAGACTTACTCCATTCCATTTATATATACAGGGAGATGAAACATTTAAGATATTATTTTATAGAAAATTATGTAGACTGTTGGCTCCCTTTTTGATTTAATCCTGTAATTTCCTTCATAATGATTGGGCAATGGCGAGAATCAGGGATACTTATCGTGTGAGTGGGTAAAGCTTTTCTTCGAGGCCGTTAGAAGCGGGGTCGGTCATGCACCGATAAGCTCGAGGGCAAATCTGATGGTCTTGTTCGAACTTTGACCCTCGATATCGAGCTTAGTTATATCGGTACCTTTGATCTCTTATGCCGAGCCTTGACCCATTGTTCCAGATGTCTCGATCGAGTATTGAGCTCGGTTCTACCCATATACAGATAGTCCCCTCTTTTTTTGGAGAGTAAGCGATTAAAAACGATATGAACCCTCAGTCCTTACTTTGATAAATCATGACGATTGGTACATGACGTAGGTGATAAGAATAGTGGAAACGACCCGTCAGTCCGGTTTTTGAGGCATTAATTGTATGTCAGTTGACGGTCGGCCACCTCGATAGACGAACCGCCGCTTGAGGTACCTATAAATACCCTTTAATCCGTTTTTTAGAACTTTTACGATCAAATCCTTCTTGCGTTCTAAGGACTTCATATTCTTCATCTTCTGGTTTTCTCAAAGCTTCCCCTTATCAACAATCTCTTTCCTTCATAAAAATGGCAAAAACTTCAAAGTCTGTTCCCCAAAAAGAAACAAATTCTTCTTCAAGACCTTTTGAAAACACTGTTGTTACTGAGGAACCTCCTCTGAGATTATATATTCCTACTGGGTTCCCTACTGTGGCTGACTTCAAGGTTGAGAATACGCCCATGGTACCAAATCGATGTGAACCAGTCTCGAGGTACATGTGTACGATTTCGGACAACATCCTCGATAAAGTTAAAGAGGACTGTAACTGGGTAGACAAACTTGTAGTCTACCTCTGAAGAATCAATCACCACCCACGTGGAGGGTTTCTTAAGTATTTACACTTACCCTTTCACGTTGGGTCCTCTATACCCGGTTATCATAGCTTTTTGCAAAAGGTATGATGTGACGCTCGGGCAGATACATCCTTCATTTTGGAGGATCATTATTCTGCTTTGATTCTTTGTGAGCAATGTCGAGGGATGTCCATTCATTATCGACCATCTCATGCGCCTGTACAACCCTCGACTTTACCGAGGAGGGTTAATTAAGCTTGCACGCCGAGCCACCAAGAGCTTATTCTAGAGTATCGACGAGGATCGAGACCGGGGCTGGCTAGGTCGATTTGTTCGAGTGAGGACCTCGGACTTAATCCCGACTGCGGACATGCCATTTCCCGAGAAATGGAACATGAAATGTAAGTTTAGCTTTGCCTTCAATTTTCTTTTTATTACTTTTAATTTAGTTGATTTCTCATTGATGTTATGTAATGCAGATGTCACTTAAATGCCGAACCCCATTCCTGAACATAAAGAGTGGGTCGAGGGCATTGCGACACAGAGACCTTACTCCAAGCGTTTATGGCATAAGCTCTCAAAGGGCCGATGGGAGACCTGGAATCATGGTAAGGGTTTTTCCCTAATAATACATCTAATCTTATTTTTCATCATCAGTCTTTGATCCGTTATTTTTTCATTTTTTAGGTTTAGGAAAGGATGTCGAGATGAGACCTCCCTCAGCTGGCGATGATATACATGCTGACCCTCCTGCTCCGAAACAGGGTAAAGAGAAGAAGAAAAGGAAAACTCCGAGTCTCTCTGCCCCTGAAAGAAAAAGACCGAGGAAGTGACTTGCGCAGAAACCTAAGAAAACTGGCGCCCGAGAACTTTCATCGGACTCACTCAATCGTTTGAGGGATANAGCCGAGGAAGCTACTTGCATAGAAACCTAAGAAAACCAGTGCCCGAGAACTTTCATCGAACTCACTCAATCGGTTGAGGGATGAGTTCGAGGAAAAAGAAAATTCTAAGTTAGTGGACCACGTGAGAAGTGGCTTCGAAATGCCTCGAGCCATGGAGGTCATAGAAGAAACAACGGCCGAAGTTTCCGAGAGGGTTGAGACCGATTTGGCCCGAGCCAGTGAGGTCGAGAAAGAAAATGTGGCCGGTACATCCCAGTCAGAATATAACGTACCCAAAGAGGCACTTGGGGTGATTGACCTTTCTGGGTCACCTTCGTTTACAACGTCTATGATAAACGAGGCCCAGACGTTGAAATATAACCTCGACGAAGGGGCCCAAGGAGTAGCCAATTCTTTCCATAATTTTTTCGACGGCCTAGATTCCACTGCTTTGGAGGATGTTACCAGTTTGAGCGACCTACCGGTACTAAGGAAGATACCATCCCCGGGAGCTGGCGGGTCCTCATCGAGCCCGAAATTAGTGAATCAGTTCCCTGCCCCGAGTGTTGATCCTACTCGGAGGCAAGCAATTTATATGTCCCTCCCGGAGGACGCGCGGGTTCTTTCTACCCCAGTGGGGATTGCCAGTTATCTTCGGTGCTTGTTGACCGAAGAGGATCAAACAAAAATGAGCGAGGTAGAGGCGCCCTGCCTATTCAACGAAACTCAACAGGCACTGAATCGGGTAATTTCGAATGTCCCTTTATTATGTACATAGCTTTAATCATGAATAACCATAACATTTTTCCTTTGTGTTTGTAGGCCTCGGTGCTTCATCACAAGGCTTTTCTTCGATACTGGGAGGAGTCAAAACATTTTGAGGCCGAGGCCCGGGAGCTTGCCGAAAAGAGGGATGCTTACAAGCTCCTTAATGAAAAATCCCAAGCTGAGCTGGAAGCGGCTCGTAGGGAACATACCAAACTTATTGAGTAGGTAAGGATAGTTTTTGGAGTTAGTGATGATCAGTCAGACTCAGAAGCTAACAATCCGAACTCTCAGGTTTAGAATAAACTTGACGTGATCGAGCAACTCCGAGGTGAGGTGGATGCGGTCAAAGCCGAGACCGAGGAATGGAAGAAAAATATGGATCACTTAGCCTCGGAGAAAGAGACTGCTCGGACACAGTTTGCTTCTGTTGAGGTTTAGCTTCGGGCTGCAAAGGAGAAGAACTTGGCGCAAGCCAAAATGATCGAGGGACTCCAATCTCAACTGAGCTCGGATGTTTCTGGTCAAGAGAATCTAGCCAAGGAGCTCGAGGCTGCCGAGCCAGAATTTATTATGGCCAGGAATGAAGCTGATAAAAAAGTGGCCCAGCTCAAAGTTGATATCGAGTCTATCCTGGAGCAGGCAAAAAACATGGTGAAGCATGCAAGGTGCGAATCCCGAAGGGAGACCCTCGAGGTAGTCAATGCTCAGAATTTTGACATATTGACCGAAATCAAAAATGCCAAGACATGCGAAACCAATGCTCGGAGGCTATCTTTTCCCGAGAAGGATTTCGAGGCATCTTAAGAGTCGGGTGAGTCCAGTGGTGAAGAAGAGCCCGTAGGCGATGACGTAGCCCTCGATGAGGATTAAGCCATTTTTCGTCTTTTGCACTCATTTGTTTGTTGAGTCCATTCGGCCTTTGTAAAAACATGCATTGGGGCTATCCAGCCTTTGTAAATAAATTTGGATATATATGTGTAAGGCTTTTTCCTTTCATGTTTCTCGAAATTTTCCCTTGCTTTTTTATTTATTTTAACGACGGTCGAAATACCTTAGCATGAAATAATTATCTCGGAATGGCCTTAGCCTGTTAACTCGGGCGATGCCAAATAAGCTTCATGCCCTCGAGTTTATTAACTCAGAACGGCCTTAGACTTTTAATTCGGGCAATGCCAAATAAGCTTCATGCCCTCGAGTTTATTAACTCGGAACGACCTTAGCCGTTGAATTCGGGCATGCTAAATAAGCTTTATGCCCTCGAGTTTTATTAACCCGCAACGGTCTTAGCCATTGCATTCGGGCATGCCAAATAAGATTTATGCCCTCGAGTTTTATTAACTCAAAACGGTCTTAGCTGTTGAGTTCGGGCATTCCAAATAAGCTTCATGCCCTCGAGTTTATTAACTCGAAATGGCCTTAGACTTTTAATTCGGGCTATACCAAATAAGCTTCATGCCCTCGAGTTTATTAACTCGGAACGGCCTTAGCCGTTGAGTTCGGGCATGCCAAATAAGCTTTATGCCCTCGAGTTTTGTTAACCCGGAACGGTCTTAGCCGTTGAGTTCGGGCATGCCAAATAAGCTTTATGCCCTCGAGTTTTGTTAACCCGGAACGGTCTTAGCCGTTGAGTTCGGGCATGCCAAATAAGTTTTATGCCCTTGAGTTTTTTTAACTCGGAACGCTCTTAGCCGTTGAGTTTGGGCATGCCAGATAAGCTTTGTGCCCTCGAGTTTTATTAACTCGGAACGGCCTTAGCCGTTGAGTTCGGGCATGCCAAATAAGCTTTATGCCCTCGAGTTTTATTAACTCGAAACGGTCTTAAACGTTGAGTTCGGGCATGCCAAATAATCTTTGTGCCCTCGAGTTTTATTAACTCGGAATAGTCTTAACCGTTGCGTTCGGGCATGCCAAATAAGGTTTATGCCCTCAAGTTTTATTAACTCGGAACGGTCTTAGCCGTTGAGTTCGGGCATGCCA